ACCACTCTGCTATTTAACTAGTTGTTACATTTATCTTCCTCCCCCCATAAAATTATAAACTCCATGGTGATGGATACTATTTTAATAATCAGTTTTTATCCTCAGCCAAGCTCAGCAAGTAGTTGCTTAGTAATTATTTATTGAGCAGATTAATGAATTAAAGAAAAAGTTTGGAAACTATGCAATACACATTTGACTGTTTCATTAGACATCCCAACATATGTTGGATTACAAGCAATTCTTACATGTATAGATTTAAAAATAAAACAATTACTTTGAATTATTTATTTATTTCTTCCTAGACTGGGGGATTTTATTTTCATTGAGTTTTAATTAGAATATTTCGAAATATTTTGGGCCCTCCTTTGCATTTAAAATATAAAATTGCCTAATTCATGTGCTAGGTGGTTTAAAAAAATAAAAATAAGCAAAGTTTATCAGGCATTGAACACTTCATCTGAATTATCTCTCTTAGTATGAGATTAGGATTTTTATACATAGAAAGGAAATAGACTGAGAAGTTAAGTAACTTTCCCAAGATCACATAGCTAATTAATGAATGGTAGAGATTGTGTTGGGTCTACAGAATTCTGGAGCTGAGTTTTTAACCATTATAAAAGTAAACTAAATAGAAAACTAAACCATTAACTAGAATTATGGTAAATTAGCATATGAATGTGAAAGATCTTAAAAGGTAATGGAGAAAAATTATTTTTAGCCAAAAAAACCAAGTTGCATTTAGGGATCTGAAGGGCAGTTTCCTATTCATTACTCTGCTGTTGTTGTGGGAAAAGAGTCATACATGAATGAATGGGTGCGGTTGTGTTCCAATTAAACTTTATAAAAATAGGCAGCAAGCCTGTGGGCCATAGCTTGCTAACCCTTGGTATACTATGTACCAGGTACTATTGTAAATATTTTATATATGTTTTATCCCATTTAAACCTCTTAACCCAAAGAAGTAGGTACTCATTACTTCTTCACATATGAGAAAACAGGCACTGTAGGTTAAATAACTTGTTCAGTATTATACAGCTGTTAAATGGCGTAGCTAAGAAGTAAACCCAAATAATTTGACTCTAAAGGCTGCACTCTGTTGTACTGTACTTTACTGCTTCTTTACTGTACCATAAGCTCTTTTTTTGTTTTCTATCAATGTCATAGAACAGGATATATTTTACTAATCTCCTGGCCTGGCACCTATAACTTTTAACAGCTAGTTTAAAAATAAAGAAGATTGTTTCTTATGGTAATTGTTCAAATGTATTCTTAAGTACCTGGAATCCTATAAGGAGAGAAAAAACTATCATGATGGGAATTAGGTTTACTTTTTAGATTGATAAATATCATTATGTCAATTGGTTCCATATTTAGATTTATATACAATTTAAATAATGTTTAAATTTACTCTGGCATAAACGTAATTTTTTTCGTGTTAGTTTGGATTTAGATGGCGAGTAGAAAAAGAAGTAATTTCAGGAAAAGGTAATTATTTTTTTAATATTACTTTTTAATAGGATAAGCTTCTTTTGTTACATTATTGAAGTCATTGAGTAAGATGATTCCTAATGTTTACAGTGAATGATTATCTACAAAAGTAAAATTAGAAAATGTGTGTTCATGATGTATTACTAGCAAAGGTCAAAATATAATGCTTTAGGGATTTTTACCTTTAGAATGTTTGCTTTTAAAAAACATTCAATTGAGTATAAGTAGAAAATTTTTAGAATTAATAATTTTATAGCAAGTAAATTATCAACAGACGAACACTTGAGTTTTTTTTTTCTTTATCAGTTTTTGGAATAATGAGTTGATATTACTGTATTCCAGTCAAATTCACATTTTGGAAGTAGAAATTAAATCTCACTTTGCACCTAATAGAATTTATGGATAGGCTAGTTCTTATTTTGAGGAGTTACTGAGATTGAGCCCAAATATCTAGTCCTACGTCAAAAGAGCAGACATTCGGTAAGCAAACCGTAAATGATTTGTCTATGCATTATTGTAATCTGTTCATAAAATTTTTCCGAGAACTTAATATCTCTATACTGTTTAATGCCATAAAATAGCTCTTTATTGATAATTGCATTTCTAATTGCAATAAAAATTAATATTAATGCTTCTGAAAACTAGAGGAGCATATAGGAAATAATTTTAAACCGATAACTTAAAAAATTTTTAACTGAAAATAAAGGCTACATTTTAAAATGATTAAACTTTATGCCATCAGTTTGGCTCATATACATATTCCATAAATTGCATGTCTGTCCATTTGAAATTGGATATGCAATAAAACAATAGGAATTTTCTTTAAATAATAAAGGATGAGCCCTGAAGGTACTCTAGAGAAGAAAAAATAATAATAAATTTAAAGCCATTTTTAAATTTTCTTAAGATTACATTTTAGTTCGTGTTTTTACCTAAAATAATGAGATATATTGAAATGTCTATCACAATTTTAAATTTTTTCTTTTTATTAAATAGAATTTTTAGATGTTGGTAAATAATGCTGCCTTTAAAAAAACTTGATAGACATTCTCTAAATTCATATAACTGAAAAAAGGATTAGTTAG